TGTATATAAGATTAAATGCGCCCTTACCCTCAAGTGTTAGTATCGAGAGATTATTTAGTAAGGCAAAACTTATACTTTCTGATCCTTGGGTATGATAATATTGAAATGATTTTATTATTAAAATGCTACAAATTACCATAAATATTTATTTTTATTACATAAATTTTTTTATAATCAAAACTAACTATATTTTAATATTTATAAATGTTGATTTTTATATATTTACTATACATTAACATTATAAGCAAAAAATAAAAAATTTGTTTGTAAATTTTTTTTATAAAAAGTAGCTAATAGCGAGTTGCTTTTTTTGAAAAATAACGATAGCGGTAGCGCGCTACTTTTTCTAACAAATAGCGATAGCGGTAGCGCGCTATATTATTTCTTATTATCTATACTACTTACAAAATATCATCGGTATATGTACAAAATTTATTATAATATATTTGAATAGCTACATAACATAAAGGCTTTTCCAAAATAAAAATAATAAAAATAAATTGAGGTTTAGTAAAATTTAATTATTCAACAATTCTGTGCAATACACAGACGTGCAAGCAGCGGGGCAAAGCCAAAAAATGCAGATGCCGGATATATTTTTCAAAAATATTATTGTTTATATTAATTTATATTTGTTAATATTTATTCCTATCTCATATTAAATATATATATTTAATTACATTTATTATCACATTCAACTAAGTTATCTTATCAATTAATTTCGATTTCAAGTTTTCCGGCGTAATATTATCTTATTATTTTCAAAATTTTAGTGGCGTAATATTTATCTACCATTTTCAAATTTCTAGCCAAATAACAATAATTGTCCAACAGGGGGAAAGAAATTGCAACTTGTCCAACGAGATAGAGTCTCCGCCATCAAGCAGTAACAGCTTTTATGGAGTTAGAAGAGCCGATTTTTTGCTATTACTGAAATATCACAATGGCCTGAAAGAAATATTTCCTCAGAAGCAAGAAAATTATTGGATTCAATGCTTATTCCAAATTTTTTTTCTCATTAGAATGTATTATTTAATTATATAACTATTTTATGTATTACATTTCAAAAACATGAAATTGACTTGATTGAGAAGATGAGAAGAGAATAGCGGAGAGCATTTTATTAGAATTCAAGGAAATTAGGGCTAATGATGATGAAGAATTTCATATTTTATATGTTATTGTTAAGTCAAAAGCAGAGCTATACGTGTTTAATATTTGTCTCCCTCGACTTGCAGCAAGGTAAGCTCATAGTTAAAACATTAATATAGGATCAGTAGAAGTGTATATCTTAGATACAGATGCATTTATAACCCAAATAAATGAATGGTTTTTAATTCATCATGCAGCACTTACCAATCTGCTATTACTTCCATAAAAGTGGAAAAAAAAATATTTGTTGGATTTTTATCAAGAAGATGTTAAAGTATCTTATGATGCCTTATTAGCTGAATAATTATGTTTATAAGATTGACTATGGTTGTTATAGTCTCAAAAAATGCTATGGATGCTCTGCATTATTACAAACACATTTTAGATTATATTCCCGATTTAATAAAAGGGTTTATATATATTAGCAACTCTTCCCATTAGTAAATAAACTAATGAGAGAACATTCTCTTTTTAGGAAGAATAACAGAGCCCTGCAGAGGTACCATTTTCAGGGCACGGCCCGGATTTTTTTAAAAATTTTTACGGCCCAGCTCGGGTTTTTTTAAAAAAAATTATGAGCCATGGCCTGTTTTTAAAATAAAATTTTCAGGCCCGACCCAGATTTTTTAAAAATAAATTATATTTATTTTTGATTTTTATAGCTAATAATAACGATTTCAAATATAGGCTGCTTTAAAATATACAGCCCGGCCCGGATATTTTTAAAAAAAATTTAGGCCCGGCCTGGGTGTTTTTTTTTAAATTTCGGGCCCAGCCCGGGTATATTTAAAAAATTAAAATACGGTCCTGCCCCGGTCTCTGAAAAACACCAAGAAGTACAACTTCTGAAAGTAGATTGAAAGGTTTGGATCTATTGAATATTCATAGGCATTTGACGAGAAGCATGGATGAGATAATTGAAAAATTAGCTCAATTCCAACGGAGATTGGATTTTATATTGTAAATATATAATATACAAAATACAATTATTCCTAAGAAACATTTTGTGTATTAATTTATATTTCTAACATTTAAATTTTTTATACTTTATATATAAATTTTAAAGGCTCAAAAAATTCAAATTTCTATTTTGGGTCATTTAAGTGATTCTTAACATAGAATTTTTTTTATAATTCACATTAATTTAAAATTGTGTATTAGAAATGGTTATTAGTCCTAATCAGGGTTGGCAAGTCGGTCAATTGACCGGAGGAGTATTTGACCTGTCAAATACGGTCAAATACTCTAAAAAATTTAAAGAAAAAATAAATTAAAAATATGTTTAAAAAAGGGAAAAACGATGTAAATACATGTGATCACAATGTTTGCTTATTTTTTGGGTCCACAATCAAGAGGAGAACTCACTAGTAGTGAAATTAATGAAGTATGTGATATAATTCAAGAATTAGCTATTTTACAAGGTAGTGATGACCAAAATATTTTAAGTGATATAATTAATTTCAGAAGCAAAAACAGCATGTTTAATATAGCAAATTATGTGGAAAGTAGTAATTTCCAGAAACAATCAATTCCGACCTCAAGTTAATAGATTAAACTTTGTCTACCCTGCCCATTAAGAGACTAACAATTCCTAGTTCTACTTTTTCTTTATAAATATTTTGGTCGATTTGGGTTAATATTTTTATGAAAATAGAAATCGATTTAAGATCTAAGACATCAGGAAAATTAATTAAAAAATATTAAAGAAAATGATAATATTGAATATGAATCAGAACAAGACTTTGATACAGATAGCTACACGTAGTTATTGAATGACAATGAATTTAAAAAATTAATATTATAGATTCATTTTACTATTATATTTAAAAATAAAGTTAATATTAACTTAAAAAAAATATATTTGAATTTGACCACATTTGACCGTATTTGACCGGTCAAATGCACAACCCTGGCCCTAATGAATTTATGCTTGATATTTTTAAAAAACAATAATATTTCATAAAAAAATTTAATGAAGTATATAATTTTTGATTATTATCACATGTCTGCCTTTCCTATATAAAATTTAAATAATGGTTTAAATATAATTTCAAAATATTCAGATACCTGCTAATATTTTATTATTAAGAATACACTATATTCAATCAAAAAATGTAAATAAGAATTATTTGATAAAAAAATGTGGAATATGATAATGAAGTATACAATTTATTTTGGCTAAAATGTTAATTTAAATCGGCTAAATTTGAGTCATTTAACAACACTGATTTTAGCCTAAAATAACATGCAAAATTGAACTCTATATCATTTTGAGTATTCACGACTACAATAATTGTTTTGTTAATTAATAATGAAAACTAATTTAAAATATTCGTCTTCTAGTTGACTCAAGTTCGTAGAACTATTCGTCCTCTAGTCGACTCGAGTAAATAATTCGTATTCACGACTCAAGTTAGAAGTCTAAAGTTAAATAATATAAAAAGCAGAACAAATATCTTAAATAATAATAACCAATTTGAAATATTTCTCCTGTAGACGACGACTCAAGTTCATTATTCACCTTCTAGTCGACTCAAGTATATAATTCGTATTCAAGACTCAAGTTGGAAGTTTAAAGTTAAAAATGTAAAAAAAAACAGAACAAATATAATTAATAATAACTCATTTAAAATATTCGTCCTCTAGTCGACTCAAGTACTTAGAACTATTCGTCCTTTAGTCGACTCAAGTATATAATACGTATTCACGAATCAAATTAGTAGTATAAAGTAAAAAACAATTGTTTTGCTAATTAATAATTAAAAATAATTTGAAACATTCGTCCTCTAGTCGACTCATGTTCATGCCTCAAATCGACTTGAGTTTACCACTAGAGTGGGCTTAATTCACGACCCAAGTTCATAACTTAAGTCAGTTTGGGTTGATTATTTCGATCCAAAACTTGGCTCAGTTATCGACTAAGTCGAGTAACAACACTAGCCATAAGCTAACCGTCAACAGGGGCCACGAGTATGGAATCAGGTCTTAGCCTGAATCGCGTTCGGTCTAACAGAAATTTATTGGCTGCTTCGCCATCTGTTAGATTGTACCGAATGTAGTGGGTTTATAGTAATTCCTTAGATAAAAGGAAGTAAGAGCTAGTGATCTGCATCGGGCCTAATTTTTCAAGTCCAGCCCGGCCCGCAATATTTTAAAAAAAGTTTTACCCGGCCCAAACCCGAAATTTTTTTTAAAAAGTTTTGCCGGCCCAGCCAAATCCCGAATATTTTTGAAAAAAATTACCGGCTTGACCCGGCCCGAATTTATTAAAATATAGAAATTAATTTTTATAATTATTCAAAATATATGATATATGTTTATGGGTTCCTTTCCTATAAATAAAATAAATATTTTTATTTTACAGAAAAAATTCATCATAAAATTGAAAATTTAGATATATTTAAAAATATTTCTAAGGCCCGACCCGGCCCGAATTTTTTTGAAAAATATTAGGCTGTAGATTTCTAGTAAGAGTTATTAGTTCAATTTATAAAACATGGAATATATGATTCCACTGGCAGAATTCAAACTAATACTTTAATACAAAGGTTTCTTTTATTAAATTTAAAATTATATCAAAATCTTTCTATAAAAAAAATAATAATCGCCTTTTATTTCTTTAAATTCTCTTTTAAAATAATAATAAATTAAAACGTTATTAATTTATCAAAATACAAACACTTTCTAACATAAATCACTATATCCCTCTCTCATATAAACATGATTACAACAGGGTTTATTAATTATGATGATTTACTGAGCTTTGAAATGGCACCCCTGTCACCGACAAGCAGTCGGGTGCTAGGATATTTGTCCGATCAACAAAAATGGATTATACAAAATGTAAAATGAATATGAAAGCTAGGGCGTTCCCTCCAAACGATGCGCACGATGTAGACTTCCATCATGTGAAAAGTAAAACAAAAGTTAAATCTAAGAAGACACGATTTGCAATGTGGGTCAAAAGAAAGATTGATATTGCATGTTTACAGGAGGCGAAATGGTACGGTCAAAAAACACAACTACTTGTAGATGGCTTTAAACTTTATTACAATGGTTTTGTGAACAAAAGAAATGGCGTTGGTATCATCTGTAGCTAAGATATCTCGACAGTGAAAGAGTCAAGAGAATCTCCGATAGATTAACGATAATAAAATTCTGCGTTGGCCAATCAATACTACGCATCTTTTCAGTATACACTCCTCAAAGCGGCTGCAAAGACGAAGAGAGAATTTTAGAAAAAGCTATGATGGAAATCCCGAAAGATAACATAGTTATAATAGGCGGAGATCTAAATGCTCATGTGGGAATGACAAGAGAAGGGTACAAATACCACGGCTATTTTAGATATAGAGAAGTAAACGAAGGAGAGGATGTATGAGATTTGCCCAAGCATTTGATCACCTCATTTTCTTCAAGAAAAGGGACAAACACTTGATAACACCGGACCACGTGATTCCGTTAATATATATTAAAAAATAAATGGGCCGTATTTCATTTTGGTCGTTGTTTAAAAAGTGAACTAACGTAATATAATATTACCCGAACAAAATACCCAGTATTAATAATTAAACACCAACCCAAATCTAATGTTTGGTAAAATAATGTTTACACCTTATTTTATAATGTCTCAAATATTGCAGGAGGCAGATGCGTAACCAAGGGATGGGAAATTACCCCCCCCCCCCCTCCAACACCATGTGAAATATGTTTGTTCTCGTAAATATTATTTTAAGCTAATAATTCCTCCCCCCCCCTATCCTTTGCACACATCCCCAAAATATATATAATATAACACTATAAACAATAATTTGAAAGAAAAACAAGTAAAAATTAATTATTTTTTATAATAATTATAAAGAATATTTAGAAATAAAAATTCAAAATTATTTTTATAAAAATATACAATATAGCCAAATACAATAAATGAACCTAAAAATCTCAATAAAGTTTATGTTGGGAAACTCGACCAATAGTGCCCTACAGGAAATGGATATGCCTGTGGAAATGATCCAAAAATAGAATTTCTACCAGTGAAATATAGAAATAATTCTAGTCTTCAATCAACTATTTGGTGTAACAGATTCTGAAGAAGGAATATTAGCTTTTGGCACAGGTTAATCCAAATTGAAACTTTAGACTAGAAAAATTAGTTTTTCATGTTTATTTGTTTTGTTTAAAATCTATATTTAAAAGGCAATTGTTTATTATTGGTACAAAGATCAAATAAATTAATGAAAAAATGTACCATTATAATTAAATTTTTAAGCTTAGGAAAGTTCACTAAATAATTTTCACTTCTTAAGCTGCTAAAAATATATAATAATATTTAAAAAATATTTATAGAAATTGTTTGATTGAAATAAAAAATTAATTCAAATCGTAATATAATTCAAATTAATTTTTATACACTGTAAAAATATAATTGTAGCTAGTGTAGCATTTTTTCAATATATTAAATATTTATATTCATCTCATTTATTATCTTTATATGATTATTTCCCAAATATCATGTTTAACTTATATCAGGCACTCCTGTGGAAATTTTAGACTAGGGAAGCATTTTTGGGAAACTAAAATGCCTTTTAGACATGAATTTTAGAAATGATTTATTACTGAAGATGAATAAAAATTTAAGCCGAATCGGGTAATTTATATAAATTTCCGGTGCGAAATATTATATTGTGATATTTTTTCAATACAATTATTTCTTTATTTAAATGGCGTATTATAAAAATTGATGAATTATATAAATAACTTGCGAGATAACTGATGACCTTTGAAATAAAACTGAATGTAACTTGTAACGAAGACTACTTTTCAAAATAACTTAATCAATACTAATGAAGTCTTGTTTTTGACGTTTCATAACAATTTATTTAATATATATTACAAAATTACTAAATATTCTATTTAAAAACAAACAAAATATAATGATCAACTTTAAGGTGGAACCATAATTGTATTTATTTGAAGGAGAAAAAGAAAATATCTGTGCTGGTATAAAAATTTGAATGTTGCTAGCAAAAATCCCATTGTTGGCAAAACGATTGGCGTGAAAATGGAGTTATTGAGTTTATTAAAAAACTATATATTATTATAAAGAAAAATCTAAGGGTGATTATCAGGTAGTGCTAAATCCCAATCGGTCTAAAAAAAATAACGGAAGAAATATAAATATTTATAACTTAATGATTGCACTATATATAGATATAAATTTATTGATTGAATGTATAAGATGTTCCATATAAATTATATCCCAAATTTAATTTAAGTGCGAGTACATATATTAAAATCACACAGAAACTAGCGACTTATGTGGATCGTTTGAAAGATGAGGTTATATATAATAGAAAAAGATCAAATTTTTTGGTCCAAATTAATTAAGCGATTGCTGTGTTGAACTAAATCGATTATAGAAACGCGGCCTTTGTCTTCGATAAATTTGGCTACGGACAATAGTTCCTCATCGGTGATGTATATAAATTTGCCTCTATCGTCAAAAACTCCATTCATGGTTCCTACTTTAACCAAATCCTCGATTCTTTGAATCACGTCCTTTACATTGTTCAAAAAAGTATAATATAATACAAATAATATTTTTAGTAATCATAATCCAATCAAAAATAACCACTTAAAAATTCTCGTAATACATAATTTTAAGATAAAACACAAGAAATTATTTTTTAAATGAGCCATAGGAATATTATACTGTTAAAAGTATGTTTTTTTAATTTAATATAAAATGAAGTAAACAAAGAATCTTCTTAATTTTAAACTCATATATGATTTCATTCATCTAAGGGTGTCGTTTAAATCCTTTAACTAATCATTCAACATCATAAACAAAGTACACATATTAAAGGTGCATATTGTTCATCATACCTTTTTCTTCTAGAAAACTTCTTTAATATACCTAAAATTCAATATGCGAATAGATCACCCATTTTCAAAAATGAAAATCTTTTGGCTGAATGAACTTAAAATTAAAGGCCTATTAGAATAGCTTTTAAACTTAAAGTTCTCGACTTCCGGCTGGCTAGAAGCCACTTTGCCATGTAAATACGGCTGCATCGCCATTCGCCTACCCTTGTGATTATCTATATCGGCCTTAATTTTTATCTAACCTTTCTTGCTATAAATTCATCAATCTCCAAACGAAGCCCTAGACATCCGGGATAAAAATTGCCCACTATCTCATGACTAACCTACCATACACACAAATATACTCCACTTGTTGCCCGTTCCGTTGAGTACCTCGACTTACGAACAGTCATCTTGTAATCAACCTCAAATGAATCATCTTTGAAGCGAAAACTAGCTGTGAATGACTTGAGAAAATACCCAAGGAATTGCCCTCCCTAAAATTTATCACACTCCACCTAGTCTGTTACACAGTAATACTTTATAATTGCGTTAACGATGCTAATATAAAAATAATGGGACAGTAAAGACCCCCACCCTGTACATTGAAAATATTTCGCAAACGCCAACCCCGCCAAAAAGTCGTCACCAACATTATATTACAAGCTTTCAAAAGGGCTAGCATACCATATACATTTCGAACCAGTAGATCTCCTCAATGATGGTTTTAAAAAATCAGATATTACTTTAATACTTGGTCTAAAGTCCTTCCCCTAGCCTGGGACTTAACTTGTATTGAGTTCCCAACTGGTCATTAACACTTTGCATTGGGCCAAGTCGAAACCTTAAAAAATAAATATTCCGAACTTCAAAATGCAATTTTTAGTTATTTACTAACTCCTTTTTAGTATCATTATAAAAATAATCCTCCATTTGTATTAAAAAATAATATATTTTTCACTGTAATGCAGCTTTAGATTTATTAAATTTAAAAAATACTAATTTTCCTCACATTTTATATAGGTATGTACATTTAAATTAGAGATGCACCGGCTATTGGAAAGCCAGGCACAAAATCTTTTGGATTGTAGTGCCAGTTCCATAAAATGACCGGCCCTAAAAACAGGCGATAAGAATTTACTTTAAATTTTGGCACCCCTCTTTAAAATATTCCCATAGAATCTATGCCCATGTTAAAAAGAACGTAGAATTTATCAATTTTATTCAGAAACCTCGCGAAATAGCTATAGGATGAGTGCAACCCAACCATTTTTTCGGCGAAATGCATTTGCCGTTAAGTTATCATGTTATTTCCCGAAAATTTCTTATCGCGGTTATAGTATAATTGATTAGTATTTATTTAGTATAACGTCAATTTGGCGCAATGACAATTCAGCGCATGTCAATTCATATATAAGAGGATTTAAACCTTGCTATAAAAGTTAAATTTTATGTCAATATTCTTTAAATTTAATATAAAATCATTTTGTTAGTGCATGAATTTTTCAAAATTTGATATTTTTTAGAAAATATGTTAATTATATTTCAAAATATTTTTTGGGTATTTATGTCGTAGAGGTTTAGCAAATCTTCAAAACTTAAATCATTTATAAATTAATTTGTTTAAATTTTGCAGACCTGATGTTGTCGGAATAGTATTCCAACATGTAATAGGGTAGGGGGGATAGGTTCTTAAATCGCTAAAACAAAAATCGCTAAAAATTGGGAATCTGGTTTATATCTCTTAGAAAATTTTAAAAGTAAATTTGAAATTAATATTAATAGATGCTAGTGGAGTAAGTTTACTCCACTAGCATCTATTAATATTATAGCATCTATTAATATTCATTTCAAATTTACTTTTAAAATTTTCTAAGAGAAATAAGCCAGATTCCCAATTTTTAGCGAGTTTTGTTTTAGCGATTTAGATATAATTACTGTTATACAAAAGTACATTTCAAAATAAAATAAAGATATTTTTAATAAAGGTTTTAATAAAGGTTTTAATAAATTTTTTATAATTTTATCTGTTCAAAAATCATAAATATAAAAGTTATTTAAAAATTGAAATATAAAAATAATATAAAACCAATTACGAAGAACTACTAATAAAATATATAAAAATTGAAGTATAAAAGAAATTAAAAATTTTTTTTTATTAACCATGTTTTATCGTAAACAAAATATAAAGACGTTTAAATATGTGGAATGCAGTAATAATTATTTTTATATAATTTTAATTGTACTTATTGGATTAATTTATGTATGGAGAAAAAATAAATTAAAGAGTATATTATAGGAAAAGATTATAATGAATGAAAAAATTGATGAAAGAAAAAAAATTATTGATGATATATCTAAATTTAAAGGTGACATAAAGGAAATATGGAAAGGAAATATCATTAGCGATATTAAAAAAGAAATTAATATCGTTAGATACTGTAGAAGAAAATAAATTTGAAAAATTAATGTGGGAAATGGATAAAATTAAAAGAAAAATAGGAGAAGAAAAAAATAAAGGGGTGAAAACAAGTAAAATGGAAATAAAGAATAATGAAATAGAAAATTTTAAAATAGAGGAAAGGGGAATTAAAGAAGTAATAATAAATGAATTGGAAAAATTAAAATTGGAAATAGTAAGAAATGAAAAAGAAAAGAAAGAAATGAAAAGAAAGGAAATTGAGGAAATAAGGAAGATATTGAGGGAAGATTTTGAACGTGAAAAAAGGGAAGAAGAGGAAATAGAAAATAAAAAGAAAAAAGAAATGGATAAAGTTGAGGAAAAAAAATGGAGAAGGAAATTTTTAAATTGGAAGTAGAGAAAATGGGAATAAAAATGAATCTGAACATATTTATGAGGATAATAAAAGAGAAAATATTTATCAAAGAGAAGGTGGCAGAAATCGACAGATAATAAAAGGGTCAAATAAACCATGTTTTATTTGCGGAAAATATGGTCATATAAGCCGAGATTGTAAAGAAAGAATTATGCAGAAAGCTCTACCAATTGTTTGTGGAAGATGTGGAAATACGGGTCATAATACGGAAAAATGTTATGTTTCAGTTTTTAAAATAGAAGAAAATATACAAAGCGTAAGGTCATGTTTAAATTGTGGAAGAACAGGACATACTTAGGATAAATGTTTCAGAAGAGAACAAACAGGTATCAATGCGTTTCCATCGGTAGCGTTTCCACTTGTTAAAAATGGGTTACCAGGAACGAATATTAAAAATGAATATAATAATGTAATACCTAAAGTTTATAAATTATGGCCTAATAAGCAAATAATAAATGATAGTAAAACAATTAAATGGTACTGAAATTGTGGTTTTGGGAAAGGTAAATTTACCAGTATTAATTAAAGAGACAGTGTATTTTTTGGATCTATGGATACTTAAGGAAGAAAATGGTGCGATTATGGGGTGGGCTTGGATATCAAAATTTGGGTTAGAGAATAATTTTTGGGATATGTTTCAAGTAAAAAATAAAGTTAATGAAAATATAAAAATACCGAAAATGTCCGTAGAGGAATCAGATACTAAAAACGTAGAAAATAAATTGGTAAAAAATATGGTTTCAGAAAATATTGAAAATAAAATATTGATGAATAATAATCAGGAAATTAAAAAAATTCATAATTTGGAATTAGATATTGTTTCAAAAACTGATGATGATTTTAAAAATTTGAAAATTAAAAATAAAATAATGAAAGAAGAAATCAAATTAGAATGTAATGAGAGAAATGTAAGGAATGGAGAAATCGTTTGTGTAAAAAATAAAGTTCAGATTATTGATAAAATTGAAAATTTAGTAGATAATATTTTGGAAATTAAAGAAAAATGTAAAAGCAATAAGTGGAGAAACCCGATCTTTTTTGAAATTGTAAATATTAAATATGACGAAAATTATATTAATGAAATGAATAAAATTGTGGATTTGAAAATCGACAATGTTTTGGAAGCTAATATTGAGGATTTTAAGTTGGAAATTGATAGTAAGGAATTTGAAGAAGAATCCGAGTTAGAAAATAGTTATATAAAATGTGATATCAAATTTAGAGCGGGAAAAATTGCCTGTATCACTAAAATTCCCGGCGAAATTTGTAAGAAAAAAAATGGAAAACGAAGATATGTTAAAGGAAAAAAAGTCATATGAAAATTTGAAAAGGTTACGAAATACGATTTAGGGGTTAAATATGAAAAAAATTTTGAAGAAAAATTAGACGTTTAAAAGAGGGATATATATACCACAGTATTATGCAATTCGCAGGGTACCTTTCGAATGGAGGGCCGAAATGGAAAGTGAATTAAATAATTGGTTACGAGATGGAATTATTTGCCCTATTGGTAATAATGAATGGGCAACACCATTGTTCCGATGCGGAAGACCAATGGAAAGTTGAGAATTTGTGCGGATTTTCGTGTTACTCTAAATCCATGGGTAGTTGAAGTAAAATACCCGTTACCATGAATTGAGGAAATTTTAGCGAATTTAAGAGGGGCAAAAAATTTTTTTAAAATAGATTTTTCATGTGCATATTTACAATTACCTATGAAAGAATGTACAAGGAAATTATTGACAATAACAACGTTTAAAGGATTATTTACTTTTTGTCGGTTACCGTTTGGGTTAAGTATTTCAGCCCCAATTTTTCAGCGCACTATGGCGGCAGTTTTTCAGGGTTTGGAAGGAA